GGGGGGTTGGTGTGTGCAGCACATAAATATGCTCCAAGTCTCCATAAAAAATGCCTTTATAGGGCCTGGGAAATCATCTGGCTCCTTCAGACTTCACTGGAGATAGCCTAGGAAACACAAGTGTGGGAAGTGAGCCGTGCCAAGAGCCAGTGGTAATTCCAAATGAGCCCCACAAACAGCACCTGTTGGGCTGGGTGTGATATAAACCCTTAGCTGGGCCACAGGGACTTGCAGAAAGTGTGATTATTTTATGTAATAAGGAAATTCTAAGTGTGCTGAACAAAAACAGTAACATTTTTAAAACCTAACTCAGAGAATTCTGAAACAGCTTCTTCCCCTGCCCCAATTACAAGAAAATCCACACTTTCCTAAGATTATTTTCTTCCCATGAATGGGTCTATCCATTGATCTCACCATGTGAATGCACAGATTTTAGCCTACTTTGAAGTTAAACTTGTCTAACTGTTATGTAGAGAAGGCCTAAATATTAAGCTTAAATATTCAGGAGTTACCTGAGGTGGTAAGAGAGAAAACCACTCAGGCTGCTTCTGGGAGGTAGAAAAAGGACAGATTAAAATACTAATGAAATGTTAAAATTAATAATTTCCCTTAAGGTAACACTCAAGGCTCTGCTTAGAAAGATTTCATCTCTCTTTCAACCTATAAGGAAATAAAGTATTAGAGACAAGTCTGTGCCATCTTTGCTATTTGCCATTTTTTATCCAGTCTATAAATCAGTAATTAATGACAGATTCTAAAAACTGAGCTTTAATATTAAATATAACAAAATCTCAAAGCTAAATCCTGACATCCATCCATTTCTACTGACCAAAGTCCAGTCCTGAGCTGGTCAGGATTAATCTATGAGTTAAGGTTGTGAATAATTGCTGAATTAGCAAAATCAGAGATAAATGGATACAGAATTTATTAACCACATCCCTTTCTTTGTGGGATTTCTACCTGTACATCAACACAAAGATGAGTATCTTCATATTCTAGAGCTGTTAAATTTAATACCCAGTAAAGCAGGATTGGTCAGTGACACAACAAGAAGAAACAAGGTTTGTTATGCCAGGTCCTGGTAACTATTGAACTCTTTCAGCCAGGGATGCAAATTCCAGCTGAAATATTTAAATTGATGCAAGCTGGGGAGCACATGCTTTGGAAAGGATCCAGGTACACGCAGCCTGATATCCAAATTAATGTTCCCACAGTGCTGACAGACAGATGTGTCCAAAAAGTCAACAGGAGGCTCCCAAAGAGGCTTTTTGCCTGAAATGGAGAGATGGGGAGAGGGAGATGGATAATGCCCTCTGCCATGCCAGCCCCTGGGGCTGGAAACCAGGGATAGGTGTGCTGGGCATGGAATTTGGGATTTATTTACTTATTTATCAAACTCAGGCATCCGAAAATGCTGCTGGAGAGAGAATAGCAAAAGCACAGGGCAAGCAGTGAATATGTGCAGGCCCCTTTCCAAAGCCCATGAACTCGGAGTTTCCCCCCACAACATGTGGAAAACATCTCCTCAATATATAATGATAATAATAATAGTAATAGTAATAATAATAATAATAATAATAAAAAATTATAGGATTATATATCCACATTTAGAGGATGATAATCATAATCTTCCTAGTCCTCCTCCTTCTTCTTATTTTTATTATTATTACTGTTATTATTATTATTATTATTATTGTTATTGTTATTGATCTTATTATTATTATTTACCAGCCCCTTGGAGCATGCCACTCTCCTTACAGGCAGCAATGAAAATCTAGATTAGAGCTTCCATAGCTGTTAACCACAGCAGTATTTAAGCCTGGATTAAAACCAGTCTAAACAGGAGTAGCTGTGAGATCTTCCTCCTCAGATTTGCATTCCCATTATTCCAGCAGTTTACAGGGAGGTTTTTTTTTTACAAAAATGTATTTTAGGAGGATTTGCTCCCTGTGGGGGCAGTGAGGGGCTGGGATGGAATTCCCAGAGCAACCTGGCACATTGGGAGGGGGTCCTGCCACGGCAGGGGCGGCTGAGCTGAGATGTAAAGTCCCTTCCAACCCAAACCATTCCATGATCCCAGCTCAGCACTAATTCCCTTCCCAGTTCTCATGTTTGAATTGCAGCAAGTCCTTTCCACTCCGAGACAGTTTTCCAAAGGCCACTTGTACTCACCAGGCTTATGATCATTATTAATTACACCCATTAAAGGTGCCTATCACCAGATCATCTGGGTGCTACCCATCTTTGATTATTTATTTATAAAAAAAAATTCTCCAACCTTGTGACAATTTTAATCAAGTGTTTCAGTTGATAATTGCAAGCTGTCAAGGTTAATACAATAAGGCTCATCTCTAATTCTTTTTCCATTTCCCTCCAAGAGGAAAAAAAAAAAAAGACCCTCTGGGATAATGACTGGTGGTTGCTATATTCCCAACTCATCAGGGAGTGTCCTGCATTGAACCACCTTTATTGAAAAGTTACATCGATTCAATATATAGTAATACAGGCAAAAATAATTACAGCTTTGCTAGTAGTGTAAGACCTTAATCCAAACCTCCCAAACATTCAATAAAAAGCGATCCAGGCTGGGAATAGGCTTTTGACAATGCAGCCCCAACGGGGAGTGGAGGTGGGGTGGAAATGGGCAGAGCAGGGAGTGTGGAAAGAGAGAGAAGCCCTGAGATGAGCTGGGGAAACCAGGTGAGAATTCCAGGCAATATTCCTCCACCGACTCCTTGTGTGCTGCAGGAGGAGCTGAGGCTGAAATGAAATGCCAGTGACACAAATTAGGCTTTGCTTGTGTTTTCTGTGTTATAGAACTTGCTATATCAGATCATGGAATGACAAAACCCCAGGATGGTTTGGGTTGGGAGGGACATTAAAACCACTCCCTGCCATGGGCAGGGACTGCTCCCACTGCCCCAGGGTGCCCCAAGCCCTGTCCAGCCTGGCCTGCGACACTTCCAGGGGCAGCCACAGCTGATATGGAAACCTGTTCAATTCCAATCCATATATTATTTTATTATTAATATCTCTAATCCTACAGTAAAAAATTTACTTTCATTTAAAGTTAAGAAACTTTCCAAAATGAGGCACCTACAAGTTTTCTCAAAATATTTTTGAAGAGACATGGCAGAAACTCAGGTTTAAGCTTTGCTTTGCTTTGCTGGAAGTTTACCTCGATTAAAAAAAAATAAAGGGAAAATACTGCAAATAAAAATAGCATCAGAAAAAAGCATTTATGCCATTATGGACTGGCTGTCTTGGGAACAGAGTTCAAAGGGCACCAGCTCCTGACGGCTGAAATTAAGCTGTGCTAAGCTGTTCCGGGGTGCAGCCCATGTGCCCAGACATCCAACAGCCAGAAAAGGCCACCCTGGATGGGGACAAGCCTGTGCAGGTGCTCCTTTACCTGCTTCAGGCAAAGACCCAGCCAGGACACCTCAGACAAAGAGTTTTTAACCTCCTGGAGGCAGCCTGGATGATTGTGCCTGGAGCAGAGTATGAGGATCTGCTCCCCTGGGATGCCTGTGAGATGGAGCCAGCTCGGAGGGCACGAGCTCATCTCTTCCTCCAGCCCAGCAGAGCCTGGAAATGGCAGAAATTTCATGGCAGAAATCCAAGGCTGAATCAAGTTTTCCTTTCTAAGGACAGAAAGGCAGGCATGGAGTCAATACCCAGCTCTCCATGTCACTCTGGGACCACCACTATTAGGATTATTTTTGGGGTTTTGGGGTAAGGAGAAGGAGTGGAGCAGCATCCTTGGTGTCATCAGAAAATCTTCTAACATGCTCACACATACCCTAAAAACAGGCATTAAAGTGTTTACCTGCTTTATTTAGGGTTTAAAATATGAGGAACGACAGCAAATTCCAAAGCAATTACAAAAAGTGTCTGTTTGACTTTGGGCTGTTGGGTTTCACTTTCTCTTTCAGCTATCTGCTAAAATTGGCAGGGACTTTAGCCCCAGTCAGTAAGAAAATATGAAAATATTTCTTTTCCTATTGTATTAAATAACAGACCATATCCATACTTGCTCAAAAACACAGCTACAGTGGCAGACTTGTGCCAGCCCAGGAACTTGCCCAAAGCACTTTTTTAAACCCCCTCAAGGAAAGGGTGAAATGAATTCTCAGGAGGACGGGGCTTTAAATGCACCGATAATCCCACAGATTCCAGTGAACATAAATCTTTGCAGGACTGGGACCTCGCACTGCACCAAGGCCCCTTTGAAAACGTGACTCACTCATTTTGTTACATAAATACATCTAAACCCAACTCACCCCTCAAAACCTCAGGGAGCAGCACCGGTTCCAGGCAGCTCCAAATTCCGCTGCTGTTGGTTAAGAGGAATACAGCTGCAATTAAAGGCAGGAGAGTGACTAATAAATAGTTTACTTAAGCCCAGCGTTCTAGGACCATGCCAGCTAGGGCTGCAGCGACTCAGGCACGTGGGGGAAACCAAGTGAGGAAGTGAAACTGTTTCCACTGGAGCCAGACTGGCAAAACCCAGCCCTGGCCTGTGGTTCAGGGCTTGGAACTCCCTGGCTCGGTCTTGTCCAGCACATGGGGGAGTTCCTTTGGATTCCACACCTTTCCAGCCCTTCCAAGCTGATGAGCAGAGTGGGTGGGGAGCAGAGACCCTGCTCAGATTTGGCTTTTGAGGATGGTTTTGAGTGTTCAGCTTAAGAAGTCGGAATTTGGGGACTGTTCTGAGCAATGTCCATCTCCAAGGAGTTCTCTCCAGAGATAAGCACTCAAAGATGGGAAGGTTTTTCTGCAAATGCACATGAATTTAATTAACCCTCTCTTTTTTATCCATTTAATAATGCTGGTGGGCCTTGGCTTTTCACAGAATCAGAAAACCAGGGTTTGGGAAGGGACCTGAAATCCCATCAGTGCCACCCCTGCCATGGCAGGGACACCTCCCACTGTCCCGGGCTGCTCCAGCCTGGCCTTGGGCACTGCCAGGGATCCAGGGACAGCCACAGCTTCTCTGGGAATTCCATCCCAGCCCCTCCCCAGCCTCACAGGAACAAATTTATTCCTTTTTACCCTGGACCAGACCTTTGCTCTTTGCCTGTGCCACAGTCAGTCCTCACACTTCTCAGTACAGCTCCAAAAGATTTAAAGACACTAAAACTCGAATTTAACCTCAGATCAGGCCCTTCCTTTCATTCCTGACTGCTCACAGAAGGGAGAAGGGCTCGAATATATTTTGTTCCATAATATTTTGCTGCAATTTCATCTTTTTCTCTTTTCTTTTTCAGCCATGACTGGTCTTGTCGTTCCCCCGATGTAAGGAAGGGGCAGCTTTGCTGCTCTCCCTCTTCCCTTTTTTCCTCCTTTTTTTTTTTTCATTTTTCTTTTACAGCACAATACTACTTATTGTGATGGACCACTAAAAAGAAAAAAATAGCACTACAAGCTCTTTTTTGGGGGAAAGCCAGGCCCGGGAAAAAAAAAAAAAAAGGAACATTTTTTATGGATTGGACAAGTTAGAAGTCTGCATCATTTACCTGTTTCATATTTCTGACACAACCACATCGACTCCTCAAACATTTGGAATGAAGAATCAGCAAGAGCCAGGATGAACAAGAGTTGGCAGGATGGAATTAGAAATGCAAAGTCTTTCCTGGAAGACACGAAAACCTTCCTATGATTTGTAAAATATTCAAAGGGGAAAAAAGAAATTGGCAAAGTGATTCAAGCTTGATATTTTGGATACAATTTGTTTTACTTTGTAGGGGTAAAAAAGTTGAAGTTTCTATTTTCTATGGAGCCTTTCAGATATCGATTTAGTTTATGCAGAAAAACAATTCAACAAAACAGGGTACCAGCATGAAAGAATTTCTAGGACAAACTGACATGAATGATGGAACTTTGGTGTATGTGTGTATTTGCTTATAGTTTAACCTCTTTAAAAAAAATGTAAGATGTTTTACAATTATTTAAATAAATAAACTTGTAACTTATTGTATGTAGAGGTAGAAATTAAACCCTTTTTTTGGATTTTTTTCCCCTCCAGTTGTACAATGAAGAAAGATGATGCAAAAATGTAGTGATAAGTTTGAGATATATTATTACTGCTGCAATTGCTCCTCACTTTTCCCCCCCTCTTACTGAATTCATGTGCAAGGATGTATAGGATTCCTTCTGATGAACAAAACCCTCAGAAACTTTCACTTACATTGTGATAAACAGGTCATGTAGGAATTTTTGCACCCTCCTCACCTCACCCCCTTTCCATTTTTTGCTTAAATTAAAATATTCAGGTATTAAGATTAATGGCTAAGTCTCAAAGACCCAGCTGATGAGTGAGTGGCACTTAGGGATTTGAGTGAATCGGATTTTTCACGAGGTACTGAGTTTATTTTATAGATTCAATGTATGAGTTGGGAGGGGAAGGGTTCTCTGGGGTTTTCCATGTAGTTAGAACACATTAAGTTCAGTTATGCTTCATATTAAGGGTGCATTTATAAAGGGTGAACATGCATTTAAATGATTTATGCACTTTTATCCCGAGTCATTAAAAATGGTAAGTATTTGCCAGTTATATATTGAAGTTCATAGAGGTAATCAATTGCTTTGAATTTTTCTGTGTTTTAACCTAAAAAAGAGTTCAGTTCTCCTTTGCCCTCCTTTCCTGAAATTGGAAGGTGAGGACAAGTCTGATAAAATAAATCACGAATTATCCAACGAAACCAGGGAACACTGAAAAGAATTTGGATGCTGGAAAGCCATTTTTAGTGGGGAAAAAAAGAAAAAATCTATGGAGACTCCTCTAAAATCCACACAATTAATGGCTGCCCGGACAGTTGTTCCTATGGAAACACCTTGTTGTTAATCAATAAACCTTAAATAAGGCCCCAGGATCCAAACTTATCCATTGGCCCAGTAGTTTTATGGATGGGTAAGGAAAATTGTGTTCTTGGTGATCTTTAGGGGTGGTAGAACTGGGACAACTTGCACGGCTGAGCTCGTTTGGGGCTGTTTTGGAGCTAATTTGGATTAGGAAGAGCCAAAAATCCTCTCTGCAGATTCACAGGTCTATGGTGATGGGAGGCTGAGGGGGGATGACCTGAGGGATCCTCACCTGAAGGACAGGGCTTGGGCACAGGGCAGCCTGTGCAGGACAGCAGAACACAGAATCAGAAAATCCTGGAATGACTGGCTGGGAAGGGACCTTAGATCCCATCAGCGCCACCCCTGCCATGGTAGGGACACCTCCCACTGCCCCAGGCTGCTCCAAGCCCCATCCAGCCTGGCCTGGAACACTTCCAGGGACTAGGAAACACTTCCAAGGTCCTCCGGGTTTCCTTTCCTGGTGCAGTTTATGGGATAAACCCACTCACTGTACCTGGAGTTCTAAATAGTGTCTCAAAGGGACTGGAGACACCAGCTGGGCCATTCCTAAAGCAAGTCCCACTTTTGGGAAGGGTTTTTGTATTCCTGACCTGAGTGAGGTTTGGCAGGCTCTTCATTTGCTGCCCTCTCAATGTCACTGATTCCCATTTTAAAAAGGTGGAGTGGGGCTGATCTCTTCTAAAACTCAAGGCCCAACTTATGTTGGCAAAAACAACGATTTAAAGAGAGATTTGGTGGGAATAAAGTGGGTTTTAAGAGACATGGATATAATTAATAATTCACAATCAGGCTACAAAAACTGAGTTCCAGAGAAAATGAAATAAAATAAATCCCTGTTAATTAAGGCTGGCAGGTTCTCTGCATGCCTCTCATGTCACCAAGCATGTGGCAGTCACTGGAGGTCAGCCAGCACCCCTGAAACCAAGTGAGCAATGAAATATTAGAGAAAAATAGATGTTAAAAAGCCTGGGGTTGTCAGGGTACCTCTGATAACACCACACGGTGCAGGGCCAGACCTGGGCTTTCCAAACAGCAAAACAGCAACAACAAACCCCCCCAAAATTTCATCTATTCACAGGTACTGACATCTCAGCAGGGCTAAGTAGGAGGTGCAAATTCATGTTTGAAATTATGCATTTACCCAGTCATAAAAATGGATAAAGCACTGGAAGAGTTGGGATTGAAATTTCCATAAATTTCAGCGAAAGCACATTTACTCCTAATTCCAAAAATTATCTTGGTGGACCAGGCTCATTCTATCAAATCCCTTCCTCCATCCCCACCTACTAAAAACCCCAAACAGCTCCAAAGCATGAAAATGATGAATATTCTCCTCCCTGCCTTTCAGGCTACTTCTAAAATTGATCATCAAATAAACTCAACATTCTGTCTGGCAAGTATTCCAGATCAATAGGAATTTCTAGACCACCTGCTGGAGAGCAGCAGTTTCCTACCTTAAAGCCTCTCCTTTTTTTTTTAACAAATGGGATTTTCATTACAAAATATCAGTCAGGAAAGTTTTCAATTTAAAAAAAATAAAAAAAAATAAAAGAAGAAGGAAATATTCCATGGAAAAATCTGGGTCTTACCCATTCTTTTCTTTTTTTTTTTTGCTTAGTCAGCACAGGCACATGGAAAAAAAGATCTACCGCATCACTAGAAATCTTGGGAAGATTCAGGGGGGAAAATGACAGTCTGGCAATAAAAAATAATAAAAAAATGAAATTTTCTGGAACACTGACCATTCCTTTCACCCTTCAGTTGTTTTTATCAGCGCTGTCCAGTTGCCCAGTTGCCACAAGTCCAAGTGAAAAAGAGAAACCTCCCGAAAAAGCTGCTCCAAGCACTTGCAGAAGAGGCACTGCCTGTGCTGATGCAAATATGAAAAATCTGGTGTGCTTTGAGCCAAAAAAAAAACCCAAAAAAACCCCAAATTAAACCTAGAAATTATTTAGAACATGGCTTTTCCTCATGCAGGGAAATCACGGTACTGGAGATGAGCGTAGGATTAGTTGAGGTTTACAGAGAAAAACACCTGTAAATAAACACAATCAGAAATCCTTGGCCATGAAAAAAGACTTTGGCAGTGGCAGAACCCTCAGCAAAGAGGGAAAAGACGATTTTAGAATTGATGTGTGAGGACTTTTCTGAGTGTCCTCTTTGAGTGGTTGCTGTTGCCAGTTCCCTGCGAGTTTTCCTCTTTGCCACTGGGAAGATGAAAATGTTGCAATAGGCAATGACAAATTCATCACAACTTTGGAAGAGTTGCTTTGATCTCCTAATTTATCTCGGTAGAGCATCTTCCTCCCCCTCTTCCTTTGCACACTTCCAATATGCATGGTTTTTCCAAACCATTTCCTCCCTCCTGTAAATTAAGGCCTCATTTCTCCCTTCTGTATAGTTTTGGGGTTTGTTTGGGGTTGGCTGGTTGTTTTTTGGGGGTTTTGGTTTGGTTTTTCTTTTTTTTTTTTTGCTTTGTCAGTTATATACAGTATGAAGTTGCTATGCACAGAGCTTTTGTAAAGGTAGCTTTTTGGTTTTTTTGTTTACTGTTTTTAATGGTCCTACTTACGGAAGAATATCTTGTTTGTAAAATGAATATGTCTACTTCAGTTTTAAACTTTAAATTATCCTAACAAAAAAAATAAAATTTTTGTACTGTAAATAAGGGGGGAATTATCTTAATTTCAGAGTGTTCAATCTGCTTCTTTATCATCCTTATGGGTCACTCGGGGCATCAAACACACTTTAAAAATGGTACAAAATGTTATGCGAGAATTTTTAAATCAAGATTTGGAGATTTGCCTGTAAAACATCCAACCAAAAAGTGGAAGAGCCAGGTTGAGATTATGCTGGGCATGGAATAAGAGCATAATTAATGGTCTTTTCTGACCATTCCTTTATTACAAATGGACAACATCAGTGAGAGTTCAGTCCTTTTTGGGGGGTAAAAACTTGTAGGATAGGACGGGGGAAGTCCCTTCTGGACACTCCCCTTTTTGTTATGAGTATACAGTTGGTCAAAGAACAAAATCAAAATTAAAAACTGGAACTGACGGATCCTGGCCTTTCCCTGGACTAAATTTGGGGTTGGTCCTGTTTTAGGCTCCATCTTTGTGCAAAACTCTGAGCAAACAATGAACTGATGCTGTGGAGGTGAATCACGTTGGCTGCCAAAAATAATCTGGATATATTTACTCCCTCTTGTGCGGAGTGCACATCTCAGCCACGGGGATGGACAAAACAGAGTGCTGAAAACTGCTTGGGAAACAGTAACTGGCCATTTGAACCAGGAATATTCCATTTTCTCCAATAAAAATTACTGGAAAGGTTCAAACAAATGAGAATTTTAATGCTGAAGGTCACTTTTACTGACATTTTTGACAGAATGTGAGTCAGTGTTTAAATTACTGCCAGATGTCAGTGAAAGCATCTGAAAACAGGAGGCACTAACAGCCCAAAGCTGAGGGGAAAACAGAGATTTTTGGTATCCTGCACCAATTCCTCCTTTCAGGATAATGTGCAATGAGCAGATGACCTTCATCCCAGCACTGACACACCAGGTTTTCCACTGTCCTGACAAAATATCCTTCATCTCCTCTTGAACAGAGGCCCATTCTCCTGAAAAACCTGATTCAGCTCTTTCTTCCCCCCCTAAGAAATCCCAGCAGTGTTTTAAGTGATGACTTTGGTGATAAAACCAACAGTTCCTGTGAAAGGGATTCTCAGTCTTTAACAGGGCCCTACTGTTGGGTTCCAGAGAGGAAGTGTGCTGGGCAGATGAAAGCTGGAAATCTGCTGTTCCACTCCTGCTTTTATTACATCTCTTAAGGACTTGGTGATGGACAGACACAAACATGAGCCTGGGATGTGTCACCCTCCAAGCCGGAGCCTGAGCAACTTCCAAACAAAATGCTGAGGGAGGGAAGAAGGAGATGTATGAGGGTTTCAGACCAAAAAAATCAACTTCTTAACTCAAATAAGCACATAGACAATTCCCTCCAAGCACAAGTAGCTCAGGTTATCAAGAATCATCTGCACAGAAATGTCTTTAAAAACAAAAATAAATCTCTAGGATCATTG